TGGTCCGGTAATGATGCTGTTAAACAGCTCTTAAGCATTAAGTTACCCCCAGCCGTTAAATCTCCCAGGTTAGACCTCAGACTGCGAATCAGAAAAATCACAATATCCCATGTGCACTGTGTGAACTTCTAACATTCAACATCTATGGATATAATACATGAGTTTAAAAACATTTGTTATTGAATAATAGATAGCTAGAACAATTTTCTCCATGACTGACTTCCTATCTACTTCGGTGTCCTGAAAATTTGTCTCTGTAAGAGTTGTTACATTATGATTGAATCACGTTAAATTAGAAGCAGAATGTTTATGAGCTAGGATTCATGTTTATCTGAAAAAATACTTTAAAATTGTAGGTTCAACACTTCTGAAAAAAAGGGGAAAATTCCCAGCAACACAAGCATGATTCAATGTTAGAAAATCTATCGAGAGGTCAAAAGACTCTCTGTATAACTAGGAATCATGTTTTCCTAAAATTTATTTAATATCTTAATTATTAATATAGTCACATCAATTTTTATTAACTTTTGCATTATCATTCTCTTTTCAACTTTTGTGTATATTTAATGCATGTTTTTGTAAATAACATGTATCAATATTTTTAAAATCCATTCTGAAAACTCTTTTAATTGAAATAATTACCAAATTTAAATTAACTCTTATTATCCATCACTTTTTTCTTTAACCTTACTTTGTGCTTAATTTTACTTATTTCTTTTCTATTTTTATTTTCAATGCTTTGTTTTAGACTGATTGAATATATTATCTCTATTTTATTTTGGAAATGATGCCATTTCTTTCATTTTGTGATTATTACAAGAATATTACCAACCCTACTTGGTGTCAATAGTCTGGAGTTAGTAACTTTACCAGTAATACAAAAATGTGTTGACACCTCTGTCAACAAGTAGCTATCATTGTACCTGTTAACGATTTTACCTCCCAATGATGGCAGTGGAGGCCTGTTTGGACAGGCTGCTGTGAAGATGCCGGCTGTAGTGGGATAGGCATGGCCAAGACTGCGCACTCCACAGAGCCAGTGGGGGCCGGGAACAGGCAGGAGCGCTGCTGCCTACTGAGTTGGCAGGCTGGGAGTCCTGCACTGCTGGGTGCAGGCTGCGGACGCCCAGCTGCGGCTTCAGATTCGGGCATACCTGTTCTCTTGGGGGTCCAGGAAGCCTCCGCTTCTCCTGCACGTTTGTAAGTGCCTGCTTCCGCCTTCTGGCCTCTCCCTGCTCCTGGGGCCTGCTCTGATTTGTGCCTGTACCAAAAAGCAAAGTTGTGGCCAAGCCCGGGCACGGTTGCAACCCGGCTGGCTGTGCGTGCGTCAGGGTGGTGCTGACACACAAGCCCCCCGCCGCCTCATCCCCCTCCGGATTTTGGGCACTGATTACCACACAAGGGAGGCCACAGGGACTCAGGACGGCTTTGCACTGGACTGCAGGTGCCCTTTGGCATGAACAGCCTGGGTGCTATGGGTGGCATGTTGATGGCGGGAGGCTTTCCACCTTGCTAACCTTCCAGTCGTTCGTGTACCTCATTTTCACTGGACCCGGAACAAGAATTTGGGACTCACCGAATGGTGGGACTGAAAAAGCTGTAACACAAACAATGCGGAAACACATCCCCTGCTCACCACAGTGTGGACTACGAGAAGGAGAACGGAGGAGGAGAAGAGCTGCCGTCCTTCTGGGAGTGCAGACCCAGGGCCTCTCAGAGCCAGGCCTGTGACCCTCTTTGAAGTTCTGCAGTTCCTGGGGTCAACGAAGCTCTTGGGCGCCACAATGTTCCCCTCGTGCAGATGCTAGTGCCCTCAGAGGAAGCTACTTGCGGTATGTCTGGTCTAGCCACAGCCTCGCATGCAGCCGACACCTGTGACAGTGCCTGGAGCCACCCTTTCCACTACAGCCAGAGCACCTGGCTGTGCGCAGTGGCCAGACTGTGCACATTTGCTCACACACCCCTCGCTACTCTACACCTGGCTTGCCCTGTCAGGCATGGTATTTAGGCCAGTAGCGCAAGCTGAGTGCAGCCTGCCAGGTTGAGTAGGCAAAATGAGCCCAGCAGGCGCAAGCAAAACCCAGGCAGAGGCAATGCTGGCCACAAAGTTTTCTGAGTCGCAAAGCAACGCCCCAAGAATCCTGTGACACTAGTATTATTTTTATAAATTTATAAAGCTGCAATGTTATTCCAAGTTCAATGAGATGTTTTAAATTTGATACCTTTAGCTTTAACTCTTTTACTGTAAAATAAAATATACACTTAGAAAAGTACACAAAATGTATCAGTTCATCTCAATTACAACAAAGCAATCATTGTATAAAACCATGCTAAAACAGCGGGGAGTGGTGGGTTACGCCTGTAAACCCAACACTTTGGGAGATCGAGGTGGGTGGATTAGCTGAGGTCACAAATTCGAGACCAACCTGACCAATATGGTGAAACCCCATCTCACAAAATTACAAAAATTACCCAGGCGTGGTGACGTGCTCCTGTAGTCCCAGTTACTCAGGATGTTGAGACAGGAGAATCGCTTGAACCTAGGAGGCGGAGGTTGCAGTGAGCCGAGATCATGCCATGGCACTCCAGCCTAGGTGACAGAGTGAGACCCTGTCTCAAAAACAAGCAAACAAATTAAAAAAGTGATAAAACAACAAAAAAGAGACATATGGTACCCTAGGAACTCCCTTCTTATGCCCTGCAAATGGTAAACTCCCATTTATAAAATCACATTAACATTTGTATCAATTATTTTATTACCAAATTATTTTTCTAAACTTACTCTTATTATTGTTTTGAGACAGAATCTCAGTCTGTTGCCCAGGCTGGAGTGCAGTGGCACAATCTCGGCTCACTGCAACCTCTGCCTCCCGGGTTCAAGTGATTCTCCTGCCTCAGCCTTCCTAGTAGCTGGGACTACAAACATGCACTGCCATGCCGAGCTATTTTTTGTATTTTTAGTAGAGATGGGGCTTCACCATTTGGCCAATCTGGTCTCAAACTACTGGCGTCAAGTGATCCACCCATTATCAGCCTTCCAAAGTGCTGGGATTATAAGCATGAGCTATGACATCCTGTCCTTTTACTGGAAGTATACTTCACTTTCACCTGTATTTAAATTTTTATAATTAGTTATTGCTCTTGGTGATGTGTTTATTGTCAGATTCATTCTACTGTATTATTTTTTATTTTCATTATTTTATATATTTTATTAATAAGGTTACCATAATTTATTCTGCTGTTCTTGCATATTTAGATCATTTCCAATTTTAAGTAATTATGAGTAATTCAGCCATGAATATTTCTTGCCTTTTCACGTACTTATATAAATATTGCAGTTGTCTAAATAACTAGGAGTGAAAATGACGGGCCATATTAATTTATATATATAAATTTATATAATTTGTACATTTCTTATTTTAATATATTTTGTATTTATATATAATTCATTTGAGTTTACAATTTATTCATATTTTGTTTTCTATTTCTATTTTATAAATATATTTTTATATTTTATATTAATTTAATTTATATATATTATCTGCATATAAATGAATTATATATTTAAGTACTATATATTAAAATTATAAATATTTGTAATATGTGTGTGTTTGGTAGATACTACCTTTACCAATTTACTCATAAGTTACATATTTCCTCAACTTTATGGATCATGGCAAACTTTTTTAAAGATAATCTATTTTCACAACAAGAATGTATGAGAGTGTTGATGTTTCTCATCATCACCAGCTCTTGGTATTGACTTTCCAATTATACAAGGATTTTATAGTTATTCCATTACCATTGATTCCTAGTTTTGTTGGATGTGTCTAGAAAATATTATCTACGTGTCAATAATTTAAACTTAAAAGACCATTGTTAAATGGTCCAGTATATTATCAATTGTATAAATATTTCATATGTTCATTAAAAATATCTGAGTAAATTGTTTTATATATAATCACATGATTAATTACATTGACTATATAAATGATATTTATGTAATATTTTTATATTAATTGTATTTCAGATAGCAAGACATATGAAATATTGCTCGATGGCTTGTTGATTTGTCTATTTCTCTTTTTTAGTTTAGTAAATTTCTACTTTATATATTTTCATGCTACAAAGGTGCACACAAGTTTAAAATGTTTATATTTTACTGGTGAATGGAATTCTTAATTTTATGAATCTATGTTTCGCAATCTTTCTATTTTTATTTTTTATTTTATTTATTCATTTTAATTTATTTTTTTATTTTTTTATTTTGAGACAGAGTCTCACTCTGTCACCAGGTGCAAGGCTGGAGAGCAGTGGCGCAACCTCGGCTAACTGCAACCTCTGCCTCCCAGGTTCAAGCAATTCTCCTGCCTCAGCCTCCTGAGTAGCTGGGACTACAGGCACACGCCACCATGCCCAGCTAATTTTTTTGTATTTTTAGTAGAGACAGGGTTTCACCATGTTGGCCAGGATGGTCTCAATCTCTTGACCTCCTGATCCACAATCTTTCTTATGTTTTGCAACCAAATATCAACTTAATCTAATTCTAGAACTGAGATAAAATGAAGCTGGGTCATTTTCTCTGCAAATATTTACACTACTGCCTCCTAGGATGCATCATTTCCATGTATAGGGGTTTAACAGGACAAATGCCTGGTTATGTCTTGCTGTCCAACTTTTGTATTTTTAGAACTGAAAAGGATTGCTTAGTTCTTCGGTATTTTAACCATATATATATATATATATATATATATATATGTATGTATATATGTATTTTTTCTTTTTTTTGAAGTGAGGGCAACTGGGATGAGAGAGGTGGCCAAATGTCCCTAAATAGAAAGGGGCAACTTGTATGATCCATATTCTATTGACTTGCCTTAACAGACAGGCAACTATTTCTACCTCTCCATATTTCCCCCCTTTTCTGAATCTGAATTGGGGAGTTGGTAATTATTTACTGCCATATTAGATGACTATATTCTTTTTAGTTGCCCTACTTGGGGACATTACTGGTCTATCATTATCAGTAATAGTAATTTTTTAGATTTTTCAACACATTTGCAACTTTGTTCACTATATATTCCTGAATTTCACACTTTGGACTAGGAAATATTTTCCATGACTCTGAAGTATGTCTTTTAGAATTTTCCTTAATAAGAATCTGTTGGCAGAAAAATTAGTATAAACATTTTTATTCTAATTTTAGAAAATACTATGTTGATTATTTTTTTGTATTATTTATTGTATCTTATTTTATTGAAGACAATACACTCTCATATAGCTTCCACTTTTGTACTTGGAAAGTTCATCTTACTGTTATTTATTTGACTGTAATATTTCCTTTCTCTCTGTGTACTTTAATGTCTTCCCAATTCATTAAGTTGTGAATTTTTATTTTACTCTACTTGGGATTCACTGGCATTCCTGATTAAGAGGAGATTTCATTAGTAAGAACTAGAAAATTCTCACTTACGGTCTCTGCAAATACTGCCTATACTGCCGTCCTCTATTTCCTTTTTCTGAAATTGCATTTGAACCCATATGAGACTTCACTTTATCCACAATTTTTATAAATGTATTATTATATTTTTTATGGTTGTGGGTTTATATTGTGGTTCACAAAGAATTTTTAAAGCTGTGCCTTCCAGTTTACTAAGTATTTTAGCTAAGTATCACTTAGCTTTTTAAATCCATCTTTAAGCCCATACATTGAGGGTTTCATTTTTTGGTAATATTATTAATTTCATTTTATTTTTATTTCTAAAAGGTTTATTGGTGTTCTCCAAATCTCTTTTGTAACATGAGTAAACATGCCCTTACTCAAGCAAAATAATGCTTTATGACCCACAGAGTATGAATTCAGTCCAACAATGCTTGAATTGACTATAGTTACACATTTTCATGGATGACTTCTCTCTGTTCAGTGCCAAAGTTGTACAGGCAATTTTCTTTTGGTGAAAAGGTTTGTTCCTAGTTCATCCTTTACCTCACTCTATGCCTCCATGTGTTCCAGATCTGCAGGCAACGTAGTTGGTTTCCTTTTAGATTCTTTTCTTCAATTTTTTTTCAATATTTTAATTTATATTTATCATATTCTTATTTATCTTTTCATTTACCTATTTCAAATGTAATAAAATCTACAAAGCATCTTTTGATATACTAACAGTCGAGGTAGCATTGATTACTTTCACGTTTCTACCCACACTAAGCACAATGCATTCGAAAACGCTGAACCTATGGTATCTTTCAAACTTATTTTTCTATATATCTGATTTCCCCAACAGTTTATAAAATTAATTAAGACTGCACCTAACTTACTGATTTATATTCATGACACCTACTACTGATTTTAGCTCATAAAATACACTCTGTAAATGGTTAGATAACTATAATTTTCAAGATTAGATGCAGAAATCACTCTCATTTAAGTTTTACAGAGATTCTTTCCATTAGGGTTGCTATGAAAACCACTGGTTCTTCTTTAGTGTACACAAATAATATTTTTTTAATTTTAAAATGGCTTCTATTGTTTGACCAGAAACTTGGTCTACATTCTACAGCAGGAAAATAACAATCGATAATTAAATTGTTGAGTGCTTAATTTATATCATACTGTATGATGGATGCTGACATTACAGAAGTAACTTTTATGAGTCAAGTCTCAAGGATGTGAATTTAAACCAAGATTATTATTTTCTCTTTTCTTTTCTCTATCAGTTTTTTCTCCTGACTCTTAGTTAAAATCTAGGGCAAGTTCTATGATTTAAGCAGTCATGCTCAGATGATAAAAATTCCTCTTGTCACTTCTGATTATAAATATAATCTGATTTCAGAAATAGTCAAATGTACAAATTTTATTTGAATGTAATGCTTTCCTCTGTTCATCTTTTCTCAGCAGTTGGAAATGAGGGTCATGATTGATTTCTTCTTTATTTTTTTCAGCTAGCTTTTTTTTTTTAATTATACTTTAAGTTCTGTGATACATGTACAGAATGTACAGGTTTGTTACCTAGGTATACACGTGCCATGGTGGTTTGCTGCACCCATCAACCTGTCATCTACATTAGGTATTTCTCCTAAGGCTATCCCTTTCTTTGTCCCCCAGTGTCCAACAGGCTCCAGTGTGTGACGTTCCCCTCCCTGTGCTCATGTGTTCTCATTGTTAAACTCCCACTCAAGTATGAGAACATGTCATGTTTGGTTTTCTGTTCCTGTGTTAGTTTGCTGAGAATGATGGTTTACAGGTTCATCCATGTCCCTGCAAAGGACATGAACTCATCCTTTTTTATGGCTGCATAGTATTCCATGGTGTATATGTGCCACATTTTCTTTATCCTGTCTATCATAAATGGGCATTTGGGTTGATTCCAAGTCTTTGATATTGTGAAAAGTACTGCAATAAACATATGTGTGCATGTGTCTTTACTGTAGAATGACTTATACCCAGTAATGGGATTTCTGGGTCAAATGATATTTCTGGTTCCAGATCCTTGAGGAATCACTACATTGTCTTCCACAATGGTTGAACTCTGTAACATCTGCCCAGAAAAGAAAGAGTGGGTAATCCAGGAAAAATTTTACTGGATTAGTACTATTTTGAACTTTGATTTTCTTTTGCTGTGGCAGATACTGAAGAATACCTTTTCTCTTCCAGAGCATTTCGTGAGAGATATCCTCAAATTGCTCATCATTACTTACCAACTGCGCTCTACAGTAAGTAAATAACTCTTCTGTACTGCTGACCACCTGTTATTTTCCCCATGGTGCTCTTATCATGGCAGTCCACTTACACTCAACAGTCTCTGTGGCAACCCAGAGTGTAGGAAGTCTTCCAAGTCAATAAGACAGTTATGGGAAAGTTTCCTTATTTTTCTCACATGGCTACATCTGATTTTTGGGAAACACACTTTTGAACCATCATCTGCAGAAATTTTGGTCATTTTAACACAATTCTTTATATGTTGCCACATGAAATACCAGTCCAATTCTCACCCTTTGTATTTCCTATGTGCATGGTAGCACTTTATAGTTTTCCTTAATTGGAAGAAGACTTATTTAAAATTCTTCAAATTGCCTCATTATAGTCTCCAATGCGAGGCTTAAAGTGAAAAATAAGTAATCTTTTTGCTTTCCCTATTGAAATATGGATTGCTATTTAAGGCAAAATTCTATGCCAAAATAAAAAAAATCCAAATTTCAAAATCTTTGCTGAAACATCACATTAACTTACATAGCCAGAAGATGGGTGATGGTCAGAAAATTCATTTTTATTCATTTCCTATGTGATTTAAATATTGATTGCTTGCCATAGTCTTTAAAATATAAAAATATCCAATATCAGTTATCTTAAGATCTCAGCTAAAATGAAGAAAGAATCTCATTTTAGCCTCATTTTATGCAAAGATGAATAGGAAGTTTCTGTATAGGAGTTCACATTGTAAGATAAAATAATTGGTATACAATAATTACTGACAAAATGATACTTGCTTTAAAGACAAATAAACTATGTATGCTGAGTCTCCCAGAGAGTGGAGAATAACTGTGTCTGGTTATGTAAGGTAAATTTTAAAAGGCAGGTAATATTTGAGAGATACTTGAAAGAGGGCAAAAAGTTTGGCTGGAGTAGAATAGCGAAAGTCCATCCAATGGGAAGAAGCTGTATGTTCAAAAGCAAATAGTATCGAGAGAATAATTTTTTTTGCGGGGGAGCAGAAAAGTAACAAGCTTTGGTAGTCGCAAAAAGTAGGGAGTAGAAATTATGCCGGTTAAGTATTTGGGGCAAGGCATGACAGGCTTTATCCCATATTTTTAGAAAATTGGAAATTAATAAGATTTTTTAATTCTGGAGATTAATATGATGAGATTTGGTCAAAAGTAAAATAATGTACTTCACAAGATGTTTTGCACGAAGAAATGTTCCAAGGCAGAGAAGTTGAAGATTCTATAGAAACTGCTCAAAAATCAGGTTCAGTAGTTAAATATGTGTGGGTTATTTATATTCAACTTACGACACTCATTAGCCTAGTGAATATTCTGACAATTTTTGGGATAAAAGAATCTATTAATACTGACTTAATTCAACATCAATCAAATGTGTTAGTGCATATAATTTTAAGAACTATTAATATCTTACAGAGATATCAAATAGTAAGAAATTACCTTCCAGATAGCCTGGTGTTGATGACATTTATGACAGTCATCAACATTTATGAGAGAGGCTATTTAGAAAGTGATTGCAATTGTTTCCATGAAAGATCTTCCAAGAGTCTTTACTACAACAGTGACAGCTGGGATAATGCAGAATACCAATGCAGAGGATTTATTGTACAAGATATATTGAGAGATTGTGCAAAAATGAGTAAAGTTTCACTTTGAGAGCTCCATCTTTCAATTGCTTGTGCATGTAAAACTATTCACAGAAAATAGGCAAGCACACAAAATTTATGTTTATCTTACATTAAAACATCCATTTGGTCATCTTCTCAGAAGTATTATGCATTACATCAACTACTGTTTTATTGCCTTCCTGAATGTGGATGCCACCTGCTAATTCAATTGCTAAATGTTTGATAATTCAACACCCACAAGATTTATCATTCCACCTCACACTCACAGCAGACTCCTTTCTCAATGATGGGAAAATATCTCTGAATAAAAACAATTAAAACATATTTAGCAAAGAAGGAAGTGTCTAGTTTTACGAAGTAAGTATTCTGCTTAAATAAACAATGATACACTGAATTTCCTTAATTATATTTTGTATTTTTTTTTCTGATAATGTCTGCAACTTGGAAGGAGGAGTTAGGCTTTTTAAAAAAAACTGTGTTCATAGCTTTGACAAAACTTTCCATTTCTTATTGAAAAGCTATATTGTAACTTTCATTTCCAGCCATAGTGCTGATTATACATCCTGTGGGAAAACAAACATTGACACTGAATACATAGAAATGCTGTTTCTAAATGCATAGCTGACATTGTAAGATATTGAGGGAAATCCTCAGAAATATATAATGAAAAAGAAGCTGAAAACCACAGCTAAGTGAGGCCTGCGATCATTAGTGCCTTAAGGGCATTTACTAAGTTTAGTAGCTGAAATCTTGGGTTTTAATGTTTGTATAAGTGAAAGTATGCAAGGCTTTGGTTGTGTCTAAGATGGTTACTTAGAAATAAGAATTTTCCCTAAAAGAAGAAAATTGAAGAGGTACAACTTTAGGAAAGTGTAATTTTAAAAAGTCTTCCCACAGGCAACATCAGGCAATAAAATATATTTGTATCAGTTCGCATCCAAGGCAGAATATTAAAAATAGAACAAGAAAAATTCTATTAGCCATTTATAATGGTATGCCTGGCCTCATAAAGATACTAATTTGAGTTTACAATTTTTGAGTAGTTATTAAGTGAATGATCAATTTAAATTAGGTTAATGTTTTATAGCATTCTGAAGTGCCTGGCAGAGAGACTGTCTCTCTGGAAAGAGACCTATGTATGAGCTCACAGAATATCAAAATAATTGAGACAAAAATGGATACAGTTCAAAGAAAAATAGATGATTACATAACCATAGTGGGAAATTATGACACATCAATCTCATTAATTATCAGAACAAATGCATCTAAATTAATATGCACAGAGGACATTTTATAAGTCAACAAAATATATACAAATATTTATGTGCATATAAAACAATGCACCTTTAAATTACAGAGTGAACCTTTAAATTACAGAATGATTCTTTGTCTAAATAAACACAATGATAAAAATTTAAAAATACTTTAAAAAGCAAGATAATAAGAATATGACATCAAAATCTATAGACTACAGCTGAAAAACCATTTAACAAGATGGCATCTTAAATTCTAATCACCAAAATATGAAATAAAAAACAATAAAGAGGCTTCAAACTGCCAAAATTTGTTCTCTTGAATGTATCACAAGATAGAAAAAAAAAGATATAGTTGATTTGACAGAGAGAAAGGGAATAAGTAATGAACTATATTAGAAACAAATGAGCAAAGATAACCACAGATTAAATTATTAACAATATACTAAAATAGTTTAGCAAAATTAGCATGAAATCCTAGAGAAATTAATAATTTCTAGAATAAATAGAACATCAAGTAAGCAATAAGTCGATTGAAAACTTAAGAGGATCCGACCTTTAAGTACGTTTTATCAGTATTTCAAAATCTATACCTTTATATCTCACTCATCAAGGTAAAGGCAATTTAAAAATAAGATTTACAAAGTAGCAGTTAATCATCTGATATAGGATTTTCAAAGGAACAACTAAAATTATATATATATATATATTCTCAAATCTTTCAATATTCTGTGAGATCATAGATCTCTTTGCAGAGAGGATTTTTCCTCCGCCAGGATCTTCAGAATGCTCTAAAATATTTACCTAATTTAAATTGTTCTTTGACTGAATAACTACTGAAAAAGGATATACATGTACACCCTTACAGATATTAGAAAAATCAATTTTTTGAGGCTAGTATAAATTTCATATTTTACAGGATATTAAAAGAATAGAAAATATCCAACATACTCTATATAAATGTTTATAGGTGTAATTCCTAAATAAGATATTCACAAATAAAATACATATCTAGTAACTGTATAAAATGTACCATAAAACATTTCCATTTAATAAAAATACTGCAAGGATAGTTTAACATTAGAAAATATGATTTAACACATTAAATCAAAAGAGAAAATGCATATAAGTATTTTAGCTATTGTAGTTTTAAAAACATAAAATATAACATCCATTCATGATAAAATCTTTTGGGAAACCAAGAGTAGAATATAATTTATTTTTCCTGAAAATAAAAATATCATAAATTTATAATTAGTGTCATATGTAATGATAATATGTATTAGAGATGTCCTTTTGAAATCAGGATAAAGCATGCTTGCTTACGCCATTTGTAATTAACATTATACAAAAAGGCATTGTACTTAGCATGTTAAGAGAAAAGGAATAAGAAACAGTAACAATGTTAAAAAATGTAAAAGTGACTCCACATATTACAAATTATATAGTTTTGAAAACAATATGATTGCCTACATAGAAAACTCAAAGTGAAGAAAATTATTGAAATTATTTAAATAATTAAAGAATTAAAGTGAGTTTGCTATATTAAAAGTTAATATATAGCAATCAATTACATACTTATATACCAATAAGAAGTAGCTAGAAAACGTAATTGAAAAAAATGTAATACCAATAAAATTATGCACATGGTTTTTAATGAGCCAAATTCCCTTCATAAGAAAAATGGTTGCCATTGTAGGACTTCCTTTGTGGTTGACATTTCATCTTCGCTATCCATAATTTTTCCTTGGGCTCTTGATTCCCTGTGCTCACATTCTTTGTATTACAGAAACAATCAGAGTAGAGTCATGGACTTTAATTAGTTCATTAGATTTCAACTAAATTTAATTAGATTGTAATCAGCTTAATTAGACTTTAATTTGTTAGCAGTATGTAACATTTTCATCCAACAGGATGAAAAGTGGAACAATCTCCTCCTCAGAAAGCAACTTTAAAGGTGAACAAAAGTGTCAATACAATTATTTTAGCATTCTGGAAATTAACCAAAGATATGCATGCAAATGAAGAGAGAAGTATTATTCATGAAAATTGCTGAAACAAGGACGGATGTAGGTCTTTTTTTTAGCTTTCTTGATGAATACCATTCTTATGCCTCACCAGTAGCTCTATTGCTGGGCAATTCGACCTGGATGAGATAGGCTAGGAAACCAATAGTCTTAGTGCTGGTGCCAGAGAAACTCACTTGATTTCTAATCTTTTCAGTTCCAGAGGTGTTCTCATGAACAAGTAAATAAGAACAAGCAGTCCTGCCAGCCTGAACTAGATTCTACTTGGTGCAGGCAGTGGACTGGCAGATTAGCAGAGGATTTCATAGGAAAGACCAAGAAGTTAGGGATACATGGAAGGCTTGTTAAGTTCTTCACATATCTCAGGTTGACAGGAGTTGTTGACATGCAAGCAACGTTGTATAGTTAGCCCATGCCACCCCACATTCCTGGCTGATGAAGCCAGTACACACACACACACACACACACACACACACACACACACACACACACAGAGAGAGAGAGAGAGAGAGAGAGAGAGATTGAAACTGATTGGCAGAATCTAAAAGTAAGGGGAAGAGTTGAAAATGGCCTGTAGTTTGATTGTTCTTTACTGCAAACACATAGATCCATCTTTAGAGAGTTGAATCCTTATTGGCTCGAGGTGTTTGAGTGCATCCTCTGGCCAACTTTTGGCTGAACACAGGATATGCAGATACAGGGGCAACCTCTAGGAATCCAGGCATACAAATAAGCAGAAGAAAATAAACTGAGCAAGATAGACACACAGAGTTACATCATAGTCAAAGTAGTGAAATTCAAAGAAAAAACTCAAACCTTGAAAGCAGTAAGAAAAAAATAACTCATCATATGCAAGAAAGCAGACATAATTAATGGTTTACTTTCTATTAGCAATAATGGAGGCCAAAAGCAATGGAAAGACATTGTCAAGTAGGAATTATATATCGAGAAAATTCATCTTTAAAATATGAGGGTAAAATAATGTTTTATTCGGATAAATAATTGTGATACTTTTTTAACCAACAATTGTGTGTTAAAAGAAATAGTAAAAGATGTCTTTCAGGCTAAGAGAAAGTGACACTAGAAAATGACCTTAATTCATATGTTGAAATGAGGAACATCAGATACAGTAAGTTTACCATAAGTACAATTTGGGAGGCCAAGGAGGGTGTATCACCAGAAGTCAGGAGTTTGATACCAGCCTGACCAACATGGTGAAACCCTGTCTCTACTAAAAATACAAAAATTAGCTGGATATGGTGGTGGGAACTTATATTCCCAACTACTCTGGAGGCTGAGGCAGAAGAATCACTTGAACCTGGGAGGCAGAGGTTGCAATGAGCCAAGATCACACCACTGCACTCCAGCCTGGGTGAGAGAGCAAGA